AAAAAGAAGAAGAAAGAGAACACAACGTTTCGGCCGTGGAGCCACACCTGAAGAAGGCTCCACGGCCGAAACGTTGTGTTCTCTTTCTTCTTCTTTTTTTCAGCATGGAATAAACCTATTACTTGTTCCTTTGAAATATTTATGTGTGATGCATTAAAGGTTTTGAGTGAGTTTTCTTTTACACATCATTCATGTTCAACAACACTATATTGCACTACTAGCACGGCTTATTTTAGTTTCTCATTGAAAACTGAAAATTACAATGCTCACAAAAGCAACTACATTCTTATTCTACATTCTTGTCACTACTGACTCAATATCAGTGATCACTCTCACCACTATTAAACAAACACTATGTGACTGCTTATCAGAGCATGTATCTGTTACACAGCGGAAACTACACCAGGGAGTAAGACATGTTTTGCAGACATCTGCTCTTTATTGTGCATGTCTACTAACTGACAGAGGACAGCAAAAACCCACCAAGACACCTAAGTACCAGAACGCAGTAACCCTAAAACATAAGTATAACAGTATCATAAACACAAACGGACGCTGTGTGCTGATCTAAATTTTCCCATCTCCTCATAAGATGACAAGAAAACAGCTCTTCCAAAAAAAGAAAGGACTGCTGGAAGTAGGTGAGACAAACACAAGTGAAAGTCTTTAAAAGTCTGTGATAAAGTCCTTAAATCTGGCAGGCCGTGGAGTATGGGCTATAGGCCACTCTTCCACAGGAACAGACAGCCCATAGGGAAGTCAACTTTGACTGGCAGTCCAGCAGGGGCAGAATCGGCTTCAGTAACAGGGTGTGTGGGCGTCATCACTCTGCAGAGACAGCTGGCCTGCCATTGAGACCCGTCAGAGAGGTGGAAGGTGGCAGGGCCAACTGTTCTATGATCTGTAAAGGAAAGGACCAAAAGTCTGGAGCATATGCTGCCAATGAATTTGTTAGATCTGTACCCTATCCTGGACAGCAGTTCCAGGCAGCTTCACTCTGTGTGACCTGTCATACCACCTTTTCATCTGGCGCTGGCATTCTGCCATCGTGCTGTGGGCGATTACCAAAGGGGTTGGAGTTGGATATGCCCAGGGCCTGTCCAGGGGCATTTGTAGCTCACGACCAAGCATGAGGAAGGCTGGTGAGCTTCCAGTTGTGACCTGCTGGGTGGCCTTGTGGTGTAGTAGAGTGCTGACAAGCACATCTGAGAAGGAGCAGACCTCAACTATATGTATTATCTGTATTATACTATTTATAATATAGTGTATTTGTAAATGGTTTCATCTGTAACACTCAAGTCCTTGTTCTTTACCTTTTATTAAAGGTTTTTGAATTTACCTTTATTAAAGGTAGCTTGATTTATGCAACAAAAAGACAATCCATTTATTTTTCCCTTCTGTCACAATAGAACTATGCAATAGGTGCATACCTAGTCTGGTCCTCCAGGGGACACTGTATATACACATTTCAAAATGGAGACTTAAGCAGGAAAAGAAAGAGTAGACTGGAAAGTCTTTTGAAATTATATATCCTGAAATAAACAAAGACTATCCTCATTGTAGCAAAACTATTTGCTACAGTGTGAATTCATTCACTTCACATTCATGTGAGTCTCTTCTGTAGCAGCAAGTTTTCCTTGAGGATGTTCTGCTCTAGGGCTGCCAGTAATCCTCCCAACAGTCACTATTACTTCCTTAATGAGACTATGAAGATGCCTTAAGAGACCAGAAAACAATAAAAACTGGATCTCACTCTGAATCCTATTTCCTATACTGACCTTCTGCGATCTGCAAAAGGTAAGATTCTCAGCATGAAGGCAAACACATTATTCTTACATGCTAGAACAATATTGGTGAACATTTGAACTATAAAACTGCTTTAGCAATATTACCAAATACTTATTTTTCTACTTATACTACTTATACTTATACTACATTTTGAAACTATTTAATTTTCTGAATCAGTTTTTCTTCTGTTAAAGTGGAGAATTACCCAGAAGAAACATATTTATTTTCCTAAAAGACCTTACCACCTTTGACAGGGTGATAAATGTTCCTTCACTCCTACTCCGATAGGTAGATATTTTAATAGAGGATGTTGATTTCTACAGAATTAAAATGTAAAAATTATTCAACGGTTAAAATGTACCTTTCCACTTCTCCATTACTGATTTCCATCACAGTACCATTTATATATTTTTTTTTTATTCTACCAAAATGTAATATGTAATTAATTGCAATAGGATTCTCTTTTCTTTTGACTGAGGTCAACAATTCACAAACTGGAAACTACTGTACATGTGTTCCTATATATAGATAGCTATCAGTATTGTTATATATTTTTAATGCTTCTTGTATATAATTTGAAAAAAAAAATGAAACACAATTAAATAAACCAGGTTAGGTTATTTGAAGTTTAATTTAAATCTAAATATTGCTTTTAAGAGTTTCTCTTCCTTTTTTCCTGTGATTTGTGTATTTTTTTAAAACAGCCATGTCTGCAACAAACCACACAGGATCATCAGTCACAGAATTTATCATCATTGGTTTCCCCGGACTGCAAGACCAAGAGAGCAAATCTATTTTGTTTTCTGTATTCCTGGTAGTCTACGTCATTATTGTATTGGGAAATCTGTTGATCATATTCATATTTGTCTTTGATGAATCCCTGCATACTCCCATGTATACACTGATCTGTAATCTGGCAATTTTAGATATTTCTGTCCCCTCCATCACTGTTCCTAAAATGTTAGCTATATTCATGTTTGATTCAAACTTAATTTCGTTTGATTCCTGTTTTATCCAGATGTTCCTTTTCATGAGTTTGGGTATAGCTGAAGGATTTCTTCTCACAGTTATGGCTTATGACAGATATTTAGCTATCTGTAATCCACTGCACTACCCTAATAAAATGACAAACAGGCTGGCCATTAAACATGTTGTGTGGTGTTGGGTTGGGGGATTTCTTGCAATGATGATTCCTACAATACTTGCTGTGAGGCTCCCCTTCTGTGGACCTGATAAAATTCTCCACTGCTTCTGTGATCATTCCTCAGTTCTCAGATTAGCATGTGCTAATATTGTCATCAACAGTATTTTGGGATTGACTATTGCATTGTGTGTGCTCCTCGTCCCTCTTTTCCTGATCTTGTTCTCCTATGTGATGATTACAAAGTCAGTGTTCCAGATCTCTGTCTGTGGTGGGAAGAGCAAAGCTTTCTCCACCTGCACCTCACACCTGCTGGTCATCTCTGTCTTCTTCCTCACCGCAGCAGGTGTCTACATCTCCTACAGGGTACCTGGAGCTTCATCAGATTTGCGCATCATGGCAGCAGTATTTCAGAATGTCTTCCCTCCTCTCATGAATCCCATCATCTATTGTTTGCGGACTAAAGAGATCAGGGACAGTTTGCTTAAAACCCTGAAAAGGGGCAGGGTTTTTCCATTCTGAATTTTAAAGGAGACAGGTCCTGTGAACACTGGCATTTCCTGGCATTCCCAGATTAATACTGTCCCTTCAGTAGTAAAGTCATGCTGTCCAAGATGTGGTCATTTTGTCTTTAGCCACACTGTTCAGAAATATGGAAGAGCTGAATTGGGATTTCTTCATACTGTACATAACAAAAATATAGAAAAAAACTATTTTAAAATGTAAAAGCAATTTCTACATTGTAATTAATTTGAAGAATCAGCTACCAAAAGTAGTTTAATTAAAGTTTAATCAATTATTAATTAAGATTAAGTAATTAAAATAAAATTAATTAATTCAAAATTCAAATAAAGCTTCAGTAACAAAGAAGCACAATGTGGCTTTAGCCAGTTTACATGTTTGTAGCAGTCCACTTATTGTTCAATTACATTTGCAGTGTCATTGAACACTGACTCATGCTATTGAGCAGAAGGTTTACTGATATAAGTGGCTTTAGAAAGGGGAATCTGATATACTGAGACTATTGCTACAGTACTACAGTATAAGTGTCCATTTGTGAGTCTTTGTCCTGTGAGTCTAATGTTTCCCTTCAAGGTTATATCTTTGTCTTTATATATTCTGAATACTTGACTGAAACTCCCACTCAACTTCCTTTCTTAATGACTAAAGATATAATGTTCCTTTATCTGTCTTTAGAAAACACAAAAACTGAAAAGCAGCACATGAAAAGAATATTTCAGTTGTGAAAAATGTGCTAAACACCCTTTTTTATTCGCCCATTCTGTACAGCAGTCCTGCCCAAATGTAGTTAATCATATTCCTAAATGCAAAGCAAACATTCTCAATAGTATTTCCTTTACAACTACTATTCAAAACAAAAATGAAAGATTCATAACAGACAAGATTAAAGAACGAACAAATTTAATTTATTTTTTGTCAAAATGAGAATAAATACAAACCTCTTAAATCCTCAGAGTTGACTCCAATTATTCTTTCATGCTTCCTCTGACATTTTAATCTTCATTAATACGTGCTTTACACGATATCACATTATTTTGAAATCATATTGTACTACTGTACATTGCACTGTAATAAGGTTTGATAAGGTAATAATGTAAGGACTGTTTGGTAATCATGTATTCATTATTATATATTTAGAATATGATGAGTTCATCGTACAGATGCAGCCATTCAAAATGGGTGAGGTATTTCGCGGCATACCGCGACA